TTTGGGAAGAATTAAAAATTAATTTTGTTGTAACCCCAACCTTGGAAGTTTATCATCAGTTAAACCCTTTACATTTAGAGATTATGCTTTTTTTAGAACCTCTTCACATGGATAATGCATGGATTGGCTCAACTCCCCTTTTAGTTTCGTAAAATTCCTTATTATCTTAGGAAAACATGTTCTCTGCAGCCTCCCTCAATATACCCCTGTTCTGAGATTGACAAAACAAACATATAACTATTGAAGACAAATGAAGAACGTGACTTGGTGTTTATTTGAAGCAGTAATTTTAGATAATCTGATTTCACAAAATTTTTTTTAGAGATTGGTAACAACACTTAAGAGGCACAAGAACAGGCAGAGAATAGAGGGATACAGACCATGTATGGGCAAATAGTATCAGTTTAGAATGGCACCATGGTTGGCGCAGTCATTGGGGGGGTGGGGTAGGAAGGGCCTGTTCCTGTGCTGTACTGTGACATTCTGTGATTTGAAAGAGTATGTTTGTCAGGATATTACTGATAACGAATCAGTAAATGTAGAGCTGGAAAAGCGCAGCAGGTCAGACAGCATCCGAGGAGCAGGGAGGTCAACGTTTCAGGCCGAAACCCTTCGTCAGGACTGGGGAGAGGGAGGGGAGCCCAGAAATAAATAGAGGGAGGAGGGGTGGGCCTGGCAGGGTGAGAGTAGGTGGAATGGAGATGGGGGGTGCCGGTCGGATGTGGGCGTGGTTGTGGTTGGTCAGTGGGAAGGGGGGAGCAGATAGGTGAGTCAGGAGCTGGACATGTTGGGGTGGAGAGATTTTGAAGCCGGTGAAGTCAATATTCAAAATCTATAACCACAAAAACTCCCCATTTGCATCCATCTATCTCCTTCCCATCTACCCTGCCCCACCCCATCTCCCTCTCTCCCTCCCCAGTCCTGACAAAGGGTTTTGGCCCAAAACATTGACTTCCCTGCCCCTTGGATGTTGTCTGACCTGCTGTGCTTCTCCAGCTCCACTTTTAATGGCTCTAGCTTCCAGCATCTGCAGTCCTTCCTGTCTCCATGTTATTGATAACAAGGTTTGTTTACTCCAGGTGGTGCTGTTCAGCCTTTGGACTGATTATTGATAAGAATGGAAAGTGGTCATTCTGAGCGATATGAGCTGCTGGCTGAGATTGGAGAAGGAGCTTACGGAAAAGTGTACAAAGCAAGAGACCTGGAAAACAATGGGAGGTTTGTGGCACTGAAAAGGATTGAGATTCCAAGAACGAAGGAAGGTATCCCTTTCATAGTAATTCGGGAGGTGGCCTGGTTGAAACAGTTAGAAGTCTTTGACCATCCAAATGTTGTCAGGTGAGGTTACTAGTGCATTGAAAACCGTATGTTGACTAAAGCCTTGCGTCTTTTGTCATTGAGGATGAAGAGGGCGTAGGATAGATCACCTTGCTTCCTGCACATCTTTTTTCAGAGGCTTGGGCAACTGAGCTTTTCAAGAAGGATGAGTATGACATTGTTGGGACTTCAAGTAATGATACTAGAGAAAGAATGAATGAGAAACATTTTCAAAAGAAGGAACAATTTAGCAATAAATATGTCCCAGATAATGCAGATAAATTCATTATCTAGAATAAGTTCCAGATTTGCAAACCCAGTTTGTTACCTTTTGTTTTCATCGAAAGGTGAGCTTCTTAACTCAAGGTGTAGAAACCTATTACAGAAAGACAAATTGCTGCAGAAACTCAGCAGGTCTGGCAGCATCTGTGGACAGAAGACGTTTTGAGTTAATGTTGAGTCCAGTGACACTTCTTTAGCGTTTTTAAACAAGGGTCACTTCAGTTATATGCCAGCATCTGGAGTTCTTTAATACACAGAAGCCTGAAAAGTGACTGCTATGTTTAAATCATAGGTCTTTCATTTTTATTCATCTGTTACATTAGCTCCGACCAAGCAAGGGGAGCTAAACTTTCTCCCTGATTTAATCAAACCAAATCAATGGTCACTGTGCTGCATGGGAAAGGAAGAACAACGTGTATTTCTGGTTTGATCCTCTGTTTATCTCCAATCCATTGCTAGAGCTAGTGCAGCAGTGTTTCTCAGGGAGTAGTCCTTCCGAATTTTTTGCTGTCCTGATGGAGTGGCCAACTTCAGCACTTCACCAGTAGATGTGGATATAGCTAGATTTCTGCACAATAATTATCCCACCACTATCACATTCTGCCTGTTCTGCTCTGACTGCTCACTGTCAGATAGACTAACTATTCTCTGATAAAGCCCATTGATGCACTTAGCCTTCAGCTGTTCTGAGGAAGACAGCTAGTCATTCCGTACATGGGGCTAATATCACTTTTAATTAGACCAGAGAATGACATCATCATAAAACAGTTCATTTTATATGTTCGGGCAGACAGTTCTATTTATTGTAAACAGTTTGTATTGAGTTACAAACCATATGTATAAAATTGCATGTTTCATGGCTTCTTGGGGAAGACATATTGACTCTATGTTGGAGCAAATTACTGCAGATGCTTGAATCTGTACTGAAAACAAAAACTGCCAGAAATCACTGTGGGTCAGGCAGCATCTGTGGAGACCGAGCAAGCTAACTCTTCATCTCGACTCAAAACATTAGCTTGCTCTCTCTCCACAGATTCTGCCTGACTGGCTATTTTTTGTTTTCAGTAGATATTGACTCCATTGTCTTAAATTCAGCTGCAGGAGAGTTAGTTTAGCTGTCTAAGTGGAAATGGAGTTTCCGATTTCGTCTTAAACTTAGTCCATATCTCTCATCAGTGATCTGCATTTCATGGAGATACGCCCTAGGTCAAAGGTTTTTCAGGTATCTGATCAAAAGAAATGGCCACACATACACATGCATGCATTTCAAAGATCGAGATAACTCCTGTTTGTCTTTAGGAGCACTGGTCTAGCTATAACTGACATCAGTTAAACAAAATCAGTATAGCTCAGTCCATTGCCTTAAGCTTGGCTGATGCTGTCCCCCTTGATTTGGTCAATGTGCAATCAGCAAATTTTTGTAATGATAGTTACAATTCACTCTGCATGATGCTGTCTTTGACAGTTCATCAAAAATCTTGTGCTCACAAGCTCGGGACTGAACTTTAAGTAGAAGCTAGATAAGCGCACAATCCGCCTCCCACTCTCTCCCTATTTATTTCAAAACCCCCTTCCCCTCCCCCTTTTCTGATGAAGGGTCTAGGCCCGAAACGTCAGCCTCTCTGCTCCTGTGACGCTGCTTGGCCTGCTGTGTTCATCCAGCCCTGCACCTTGTTGTCTCGGAATAAAAAACCCATTGATACGGTTAGAAGAATAAAAGTTGGAGGAAGCTTGTGAGGACTGTAAACGACAGCATCAACCTTTAGACCAAATTATCTGCTTTTATTTAACTGTGAATTCTATGTCAAATCAACTTTGGGTTGTGTCTCATCATAAGTTGTGCATCTGTGGACAAATAATTTGCCAAAATCAGGCATTTGACTAACATTAGTGGTCTATTTTTTTCCCACAGTGACTGTAGCAGTTTCTCAAATTAAGTTACTGCGTGTCCTTAATTGCACCTTTAAGATGTTAGATCATCACAAGGTGCTTCATTAGAGCGTTACCAAAAAAAAAGTTTAGCAGCAGGGAAATCCCAACCCGAAATGTCAGCTTTCCTGCTCCTCTGATGCTGCCTGGCCTGCTGTGTTCCTCCAGCTCCACACTGAGTTATCTCAGACTCCAGCATCAGTACTTCTTACTATCTCTAAATAAAAATTGTTCCCTCTTTTATTCAGGTTATTTAACGTGGAGCTTGGTTCTCGGACAGATGAGCTGATGAAGTTGACACTTGTGTTTGAACTCATTGAGCAAGATTTGTCCATGTTTCTGACAAAAATTCACCAGCCACACCTCCCTCGTAAGAAAGTAAAGGTAGGCCAGCTATCATACAAATTGTGAGAGTTTGTTTGTCCCAGAGCTCTGATATGTTGGAGGATAGTGAGAAATGATTGAAAATGTTGATTATTTCTCCAAGAGAGGGAATCTTCAAACTCATTCCCGATTACAATTGACCTCAATTTGTGGGAGACCAGATCTTTCTGAATATGTCAGTCACGGGTGAATGTGGAATTTTGTTCGATGTTTGATTGTTAATAGTGTGGCTGCGACAATTTCTGACAGAGACGTCAGCACAATTTTTTTGTCCTCGATATGGAGGGATGAGCCAAATCAATCCACGTGACTTGAAAGTTTGTGGAATTTTGTGAGTCACGTACTCAAAGTGCGACACATCCAAGTGTCCTTGACCTTATAAGTGTCCATTCCACTATGCAACTGAACAGCTCTCCACCTGCAAAGTTGGCAGCAAGCCGAGATCCCAAATGTCAGTTTCTGTCATGTTTGTACTTGCCCAGGGAGGGGTGTAGGAGTGGGGACTTCCATGGTGTCCTCATGTTCAGGTGCACAAGCACACAGAGATGACTGACCACAGAGGAAATTAGCCGTTCTGAAGAAGAGTCGTGTCAGGCTCTAAACGTTAGCTGATGCTGCCAGACCTGCTGGGTTTCCCCAGTATTCTGTTTTATTTGACATTTTCAGTACCCAAAGCATTTGGCTTTCATTAACACAGGAGGAGGATGTAATCTGTTTGCAGGCGACCTGTTCCAAATGGGGGGCCTCAGCTGACGTATCTATCAAGAGAAGTCAGTCTGAAGAGCTGACTCTGTGTGTGTGCATGGGAGGGAGAGTGTGTGTGTATGTGTGTGAGGGAGAGTGTGTGTATCTGTGTGAGGGAGTGTGTGTGTATGTGTGTGAGGGAGTGTGTGTGTATGTGTGTGAGGGAGTGTGTGTGTATGTGTATGAGGGAGTGTGTGTGTAAGTGTGAGGGAGTGTGTGTGTAAGTGTGAGGGAGAGTGTGTGTGTGTGAGGGAGAGTGTGTGTGAGAGAGAGGGAGAGTGTGTGGTGTGTGTGTGAGAGGGAGAGAGTGTGTGGTGTGTGTAAGTGTGAGGGAGAGGGTGTGTGTAAGTGTGAGGGAGAGGGTGTGTGT